CTCGGCCCGCCATCAGACAAGAAGAAGCGCCTCAAAACCCTAGAATCCCTCCAAAAGGAAACCAAGACCGAAGCCCTAATCGCCCTCTCGCTGGGGTTTCCCATCGACGCCCTCCTCCCTTCAGAGTCCATCCCCGACCCCTTCACCCAGAACGATTACATCGTTGTCCGCAATCACGTGCTCGCCACGTGGCGCTCTAATGTGAGGTCTTTCCTCTCGAAATCCCACCTCAAAGAGACGATCGCTGCCGAGTATGATCCTTTGCTGTCTGCTGCTTACTCATTTCTCTACGAGAATGGGTATATCAACTTTGGGGTTTCGCCGGCGATCAAGTCGCAGTTTCCAGAGAGTTTCGATAAGGGTTCGGTGGTAATTGTGGGTTCCGGGTTATCGGGTCTCGCGGCGGCGAGGCAATTGATGGGTTTCGGGTTCAAAGTTTTGATCTTGGAGGGGAGGAAGCGGCCTGGGGGGAGAGTTTACACATCGAAAATGGGGGAGAAGGGGAAATTTGCGGCGGTAGGGGGGAGCGTGATAACGGGTACTCATGCGAACCCATTAGGGGTTTTGGCGAGGCAGCTGGGGATTCCTCTTCACAAGATTAGAGACAAGTGCCCTCTTTACAAGGCAAGCGGTGAAAATGTGGACGAGAAATTGGATGCTGAGGTTGATCTATTGTTTAATAAGCTTCTTGAGCAGGCGGCAAAGCTAAGGGAGGTTTTAGGAAATGTCTCTGAAGGTGTCTCGCTTGAAACCGCAATTGAGAGGATTAGGAAATTGTATGGGGTGGCGAGAAGTGAGGAAGAGAGGGAACTTTTCGATTGGCACCTTGCAAATTTGGAATATGCGAATGCAGGGTGCCTTTCTGATCTCTCATGGGCACATTGGGATCAAGATGATCCTTATGAGATGGATGGGGATCATTGCTTTCTCGCTGGTGGAAATTGGAGGTTGATCAATGCGTTGTGTGAGGATGTACCTATTTTGTATGGTAAGAAGGTTACAATGATTGAATATGGGAAGTTGGGGGTGGAGGTCTCGGTTGAAGGAGGGCAAGTTTTCCATGCAGATATGGTGCTTTGCACGGTACCGCTTGGGGTTTTGAAGGGTGGGAGTATCAAGTTTGATCCGGAATTGCCCAGTAGAAAGGTGGAGGCTATTGAGAGCTTAGGGTTTGGGTTGTTGAACAAGGTGGCAATGGTTTTTCCTCGTGTGTTTTGGGAGGAGGATCTTGATACTTTTGGTTGTCTTAACAAGGATAGGAGCAAGCGTGGGGAGTTCTTTCTGTTCTATAGCTATCACACTGTTTCTGGAGGGGCTGTTCTCATTGCATTGGTAGCGGGAGAAGCCGCGCTAACATTTGAACGCATGGATCCGGTTTCTATACTTCATCGTGTTCTTGAAGTTCTTAGAGGTATTAATCCTGTGGTATTATTGAATCTTTATTTAGCTTTCAAATGTGTTTATTGTCATGAGTTTTGTGGAAAGTGTAAAGCAGAGCGAAATGACAGGTTGTTACTTATGCTTTAGGAGCTTTAGTGGCAAAAAGCACCAGGAACATTTTTAAATAAATTAAGAAGAAAAATAACAAAGACAGAAGACGATTAGAAAATTTGAGATTATCTAAAATAAGAAGAAAGTTTTTTATGTTAAATTTATAAACAACAATAAGAAACATATTTGAAGCATGTTAGAGACGAATGTAATAAAATTCGTCAGTGTCTAAATTGGCAATTCTAGAAAGTAATGACAACAATACACTGTAGAATTTATTATTACAATAATGCCTTAAATAAAATGTGTTAAAAGTAAAAGGCGATCTAAATTGTCAAGTAATTGATGGTGTTATCTTCTTTTATATAAAGTCAACGTAATTTTTGCTTGTACAATAAGTCGTGTACATTACAAGAGTGAGCATGAGCTCAATGCTTTGATAATTTTATTTTTGAAAATAGAAAGGGAGACGTATAACCCTCTTCCAATATAAAGGAAAGTTACTCAGTGTGTTAGTTTTAGTGTCCCTCGAACTTGTGAACTTCCTTTCATAATCAGCATATTTACTAATTTTCAACTCCTTTTACTTTTGTGGGTCTTTTCACGCTTTTATGTTTAAGTTTATGAAGCACGGATAGCAATGAGCTTTCACGTCAAATTCAAAGCTCTAAAAAGTGGTCTACATAGACTTAGGGTCTGTTTGTTTGCCTAAAAAAATGGGAAATCAAAGAAATAGAAAACTATTTCTAAGAAGAATTGTTTTTGGAGTGTTTGGTTTGGTAAAAAAAGAAGAAAATCAAAGAAATGGAGATGAGATGAGATGAGTTGTCACCTTATTATAGGATGATGTGAGGGATTTTTTAAGAAAACTTGTTTTGATGTTGTTTGGTTGGCGAGAAAAATAAAGAAATGAATTATAAGAAACTTATTTCTTGTAATAGGTTGTTTTCTTTTGTTTGGTTCATTCTTAAAAATAAGAAAATAGATGAGATAAGATGAGTTGTCATTATATTATTGGATGATGTGACACACACTTAAGGAAATAGTTTTCCTAGCTTTTTGGGAGGTAATGGGTGGAAATAAAATGTTAATGAGATGAGATAAGTTGTCACCATCTTATTGGATGATGTGAGTTATTTGAAATGATGAGATGAGATGAGTTGAGTGATGTTGTGGATAAAAATAATATTTTATTAGATGTGGTGGATGAGTTGTTGGATGAAAATAATATTTTATTAGATGTGGTGGATATGGTGGATGAGTTGTTGGATGAAAATAATATTTTATTAGATGTGGTGGATGAGTTGTTGGATAAAAATAATATTTTATTAGATGTTCTGGGTGGGTTTTAGTGATGGAAATGGATGAAATTGTACTTTTTGAGTTTTCTTGGTTTTCATTTCTATTTCTTGGTTTTTTAGGAAATAACCAAAGAGGCCCTTAAGCAATTTCCTAAGCAATCAAAACGTCCAGGTGGCGCTTAGGTGGATCGAGTAGTCGTTTAAGCAGTTCACTCCTCGACACTTGGACTCACCTAGCCTTTTTTAGATCATTGCTTCTCCGGAGGCCAATTCTAGGCTTAGCCTAGAGCTTAAGTGGTCACCTTAATTAGCATGTTGCCCTATGCCAAACTCCCAACATTTGTTGTTTCCTGAGCACCTTGGCAAGAGCGCTTGTAACAAAATTTATTGCTAATGAATCGAAGACATGTAATAAATGTTAAAGGAGTGAAAAGTCTTGGAATGTCTAATACCATCATCATTAAAGAAGTCTCAGGTATGATTTTGCTTTACGCTTCAAACGGTTTCATTGGTCATATATGGCATCTTGGGAAGTCAACTAACTAAAATGACAATTTGAATTGCCACCAAAAAGAAAAAAATATAAAGTAGATATACACAAGGCAGTGGTCTTCTATCTAACATGGAACGGTGAGGCCTGGTCATCCAGTGTAACTAGTTGGGGAGCCTGATCACTTTCTTTCCTTTTGGAAGCTCATTTAGAAAGATTAGCTGCCAGCCTGCCAGCCTATACACATTATTTCCATACACGCATACACACACACATATAATGTGTATGTGTGTGTATATATACGTACTTACGGAGTTTGACTAGGATCTTACTAGTAGGGTTTGAATTTGCTTCTACAAATCGAAAAAAATATGCAGGATATCAGAATCTAAAATTTACCTATTTAGCTGTGCTGTCTAATATCTAAATAGTTTAAACAATCATATGTTTGAAGATTTTTTGCCTATGGATCAAACTTACAAAATTAACAATTAAAATAGCATGTTCAACGAAATCATCGTCTATATACACGTCTTTCCTTCCATGGATGTTTATATACACATTAAGGCCTCGTTTGGTACATGGGAGTGGGTGGGAATGGAATGTTCATTCTCACTTCTCATTCATGCCTACCAAAGACAAATGTCTTTTTGGAAGTTAGTATGCCCATTACCACTACTCCGCGGGAATGTGCGTTTCAATGAGTTGGTAGGAAATGGATATTCCCACTTAGAATGAAAAAAATTAAGTTTCAATGAGTTGGTAGGAAATGGATATTCCCACTTAGAATGAAAAAATTAAGTTAAATACCAAATATGTGATGATTACTTATTAAATACTCAAACCAAAAATTAAAAAGATTTGCACTCTCACTTCATTCTCTAATCGCACCCATATATGAGCATAGAAATGAGCATTTCATTTCCACACCCATTTCATTCAATTCCTTCATTTCATTCTCATTTGATCTGATTCTCACGTTCCAAATGAAGCCTAAAGTTATCCTCGAGACACACATTAGTTTAACCTTTCTCTTCTTTTAAAGGCCCTCTTTATTCCGCACATGATGTCACCTCCACTTAAATCCCTTTGGACTATAGACTACATCAATAATTATCATCATAAAGGCCCCATAAAAGATTTGAGAAAGTCCTGTAATATGAACCCTCTAGTTCGTTAATGGCAATTTTGACAAGGAAACTACAAGCAAGAATGGGGCTTGCCGCATTCCTAGAACCCCAGCTGGTTTCCTCCAAACTCTCGTAGATCGTCATAAAGGTTTGCCCACTAGAAAGCTTCCATGTTTTTGTTTTAATCGCACGTGCAAAAATTCCGTGTTTTTAATGACTTCTCATAAGGTGATTAAAACTAGAAATTTATATGCAATTAATGAGTTTTAGACTTTTAAGGTTAGAGCTTGGTTGCGTAAATTTCCTAGAGTTGGGTCTGTGTAGATTTTGTTCAAAAGTTAAAACAAGTTAAACATCTTCGGGGAAAAGGACAAGAAGTTTCAATTAAAACTTCATGTTTTATATTTTATATTTTATTTCTTGAAAGAGAAAAACATATATTTACTGTATATTTATATGTTAATGATATTTACTTTTTTGTGTGTATGTTACATTTTTCTTTAACCAGTAATGTACTTCAATGTTCTGGCCATGTTCGAAAAGTTTCTAATGTGTGTGCAAGAGTTCAAGTAGTGTAGACTGTAGTATATTTTAGATGTTAGAAAGTCAACAAATATATATTTCGAGACCGAAGTGATTCATTTTCCTTTACTTCAATAAAATTTAACAGACTATCACTCATTTCCAAATCAATTGCCATGATATCTTCAAAATCCTTTTGCTCCGTACATTCAATTAACTATTAAGAGTTTTACTACCTCCAGAGCCTGTGGGACTTACGTCTGGATCCTATGGCAGTGCAGATACATGCAATTAACTATTAAGAGTTTTATATTTTATTTCTTGAAAGAGAAAAAACATATATTTACTGTATATTTATATATTAATGATATTTCCTTTTTGCGTGTATGTTACATTTTTCTTTAACTAGTAATGTACTTCAATATTCTGGCCATGTTCGAAAAGTTTCTAATGTGTGTTCAAGGGTTCAAGTAGTGTAGACTGTGTAGTATATTTTATATGTTAGAAAGTCAACAAATATATCTTTCGAGACCCAGATGATCCCATTTTCCTTTACTTCAATAAAATTTAACAGACTATCACTCATTTCCAAATTAATTGTCATGATATCTATAAAAACCTTTTGCTCCGTACATTCAATTAACTATTAAGAGTTTTACTGCCTCCAGAGCCTTTGAGACTTACTTCTGGATCCTATGGCAGTGCAGATATATATAACCCGAGAGGTATCATGGTGCCTGATCCAATCCAGACAGTTTGTACTAAATGGGGAAGTGATCCCCTTTCTCGGGGGTCCTACTCCCATGTCAGAGTCGGTTCATCAGGTAAGGACTATGATATTCTTGCCGAAAACATCGGAGGACGACTCTTTTTTGCAGGGGAAGCCACAACTAGACAATATCCTGCAACTATGCATGGTGCTTTTCTGAGTGGATTAAGAGAAGCTGCCTCCATTCTTCATGCTTCAAGAAGTAGGGCCAATGGAAACAATGACCCCAAGAAGTGCCTGCAGAAGAATTTAAAACAGTGCACCGATATTCTCATTAACTTATTTAAAGAGCCAGATGTCGCTTTCAGAAATATCTCGTTTGTATTTAATCCATTTAAAGCAACGGATCCTACGACGATGGGACTCCTAAGAGTTACTATTGAGAATTCCAGGAAAGATGATGAGTTCAAGGACAGACAACAACCGTCAGATCCACACTGTCAAGCTTTGCATCTCTATGCAATCTTATCTCGTCAGCAGGCGGACCAAATGCAACTGGTTAGTGATGATGATTCAATAAAATTAGCAATGCTATCGAAAAAATTTGGTATAAAATTAATGGGGTGTGATAGTACATGTGTTATAGGAAACTCCTTGATTATTAGCATTTCTAGTGCAAGAAGGGTTCGGAATAGGCAATACCGACCAATGCATCATAAAGTGCAACTCCGATGATGTATTTGCCTGCACCCATTTTCTTACCATCAAAGTGTCTTAGGTTTCAAATGAAGTGAATAGTATATATTAACTGTAGGCAAATTTTGGATTGGGTGAAGATGCCCCTTGTTTTTTGTTGTTTACCTTGTAGTATAATTGTACACCAAAATTGCAGATCCATTCTTTGAATTAGTATGAGCAAGGGGAGTTTTTTAACGCATATAAGAGTAGCACCTCCAATTGTGTACTTTTTGAAATCATCTTGCATCAATTCAATACATTTTTGTTAACAGTCTCTAACTTAAGCCGTGACACATATCTCGTATCTTTTAAACATTTATTCTCAACCTTGGTTATTACCTTAGTTTGAATTTCCTTTATCCATTACATTCTGATGTATTAAGTTGATTTTAATAGTGGTGTAGCACTTTGGTTCTGCTAGTTGCCTTGTCTTGTTCAGAGGAGGGAGCAAATTGCAATGTAAGTTTGGTATTTATATTTTATGGGAGTCATATAACCTATAGCGGTTTGAAAATTGTAGGGCACATGATGAAGAGATGAAAAAGGTTCGAGGGCATACATTTAGACAATGTAGGATCAATGTTATATTAAACGCTGGGCGCTTCTATGCGTCGGACTTGGCGCCCAACGCTTAGTCGCCTAGGCGGGCGCCTAAGCGGTTTCTGGGCGTTTTTTTTTTTCTTTCTTCATTTAAGTGATGGTCGATGAGGTTTTGCTGAAGGTCGGAGGAGGTAGTGAATGTGTTCATATTTGGAGGTTAATGGAGTTTGGAAGACGTGTAGGCTACAGCACCTAAAATCACAATCAAGGCCTATAGGGTGCAATCCACGTAAGCAGACAATGCTCCCCTAAACGCTCGTAAAATCTAGGTGGCAACCTAAATACCGCCTAGGCGCTAGGCGCTAGTTAGGCGGCCTAGGTACCGTCTAGGCCTAGGCGTACGCCTAAGCGGACTAGGCAGATGTTTTTTAAAACAGTGTGTAGGATAATCTAGTTTGTATTTTTGGCAAGAAGGTGGAGAATTCAAGAATGTCTTTTTTGGCTTGAAGATGCATACGAACAGTATCAAGTCTTGAAATAGAAATTTTACATGAATATACTATATAGTGAAAACAGAAATTATATAGTTGAGCTCAACAATGTCAAGAATACACTGTGACAATATAATGTTCTACCTGCTATATTATTTATGGGTATTGTCTGGGGGTGAATAATTCTATTTTGAAGTATGTTGCATCAGTAGTATGGTGGATAAGAAAACCATTGCTTGTACAAAATAGAAATGATGTTTCAATGAGAAATGATTGGCAACTCTATCAAGTTTGTTGTCTTTGATATAGTGTGAGCAAAGGTATTATAGTGCCCATATTGGTGGTGATTTTTTCGGTTTATGATCGTTTATTCAAGAATATTTGGCAATCAAGAAAACTATGTTTAAAAAAAATTAAGTGCAGCAGAGATGACGATGTTACGATGAACTTGTAGATAAACACTAAGAGACGGACCGGATAATAAATGAATGCATTTGTAGGAGGTTTGTTGCTACAATTGAGCATAAAACGAAAAATGAAAGAGAATCAATTAAGATGGTTTACTCATGTGCAATAGAGGCCAGTAAATGTAGTGGTTAAGAGGAGTAATGGTTCGGTCATGTGCAATAGAGGGCATTATATGTATTAGTTAGGAGAAGTGATAAGATTATATAATACTGAAGAAAGGAGTATTAGAGATAGGCCTAAAAGAAGCTAATAATTATCTTCATGAGGAGAAAAACTCTTTAAACAAAATTCAAGGGAAGAATATGATTCATATAATCAAACCTAAAAATTTGGGATAAAGGCTTTGGTGTTGTTGGTGGTGATGTCTCATAATCCCGAACGCAGCAAGGAACAAGAATATGAGCAGATCACTTTACAAGCCAACCAATTAATCACTGCACTTTGATTTTTTTTTTAATCTACAAATTTTCAATTTCATGTTTGGGTATGATTTTTATCCTTGAAGTTGTAATTAGTTTTTATTATGGACAATGAAGATATGTAGAAGGTCAAATAAACTAGAGAGGAGGATTGAGAGGACAGTAATGGTTATGAATTTTAAAAAGGAGCAAAAAAAACTTGAAGGATGGGGATGAATTCCACATGAGATATAAATAAACCAGATAGGAGAATTGAGAGTACAAGTATTTACCATTGTTTGGTGGAGGAAAATATAGGGTCGAGTTTTTGAAAACGTTTAGAATTTTGTGCACGAGCGAGAAAATTTTAAGGAACATACTTGAAGGTTAATAAAGTGAAGGAATGTCTTATGAGGAATAAAAGGAGATTACTGCAGAGTATTATTATATTAGTAATATATATATAACAGGAGAGATTTTGCTTGGAACTAAGTTCATGTTTTTCTCTGTAAAATGTTTAGCTGCTTCATGTTTAGGATAATTTTCGAATGAATAGGTGGGTAATACATGCATTATGCTACTTAATGAGAGCATAATAAAATAGTCAAAGAACACCACCTAGCTTCCAACTGCATTTCTAAGAAAGGCAAAAGGGAGGAAAAAAAAAAGCAATAGAGGAGTAATTGGTAGGAATAGACTAAGGGGCTGTTTGTTTCACCATTTTTATAGAAAAGGAATAGGATTTGGGTCTGACAATGACAAAATTGTAAATAAAGGATTCTTTATGAATCATATTCTTGAGTTTGGTTCCCCAAAAATTTATAGATTTCGGAATCTATAAAGTTGAAAAAGTATGCTGATTTTATAGAAACTCAAATCATAATGATTTGAGCGGATTGCATTTGTACTATTCTCCCCCTCTTTTTTTGGGATTCCGTTTCTTCACCAACCCTATATTATTATGAGATCAAATCATATTCTCATTCCAAACCAAACTAAAGAATAGGAATTGGAGGGTTTCTATAAAGTTGGATTCTATTTTTTCATGTTATGAAACAAATATAGAAATGAAAAAAAAAGGATTTCATAACATAAAATTGTCTTGAAAATTTTTATGGATTAGCTAGGAATCTATAAAAAATATGAGATTCATAATCCTAATCTTGCCCACTATTGAACCTAACTTCCCCTAAAAGTATTTGATAATGTGTTAGAAAATATAAAGATTTTATCCTATTTTTTAGGATCGGCTACATGAATCGTATTCTTTTAGAATTTAATAATTTGTTTGACATTAAAGAAAAAAAGGTCCAACCGGTCTCTTTGTCGTCCATGGGGCTCCTCAATCTTCACAGTTAACCTTTAAACACAGGACTTTTTTTAAAAAAAAATCTTCACATAATCACATGTAAACCTTTGAACACGCTTTTTTTAATTGTTGCTTTCCTCCAACTAAACCTTGGCCTTTATACAGTATATTGCATGATAAGAATATGGTTAGAGGCTTGAGAGTTTGATAATCAAACCTGCTATTCTTGCCTTGATTAATTCTCACAATACTAACTATACTACTCATCACATATTTTATGGACATATCGTAAATTACGGAGATTAATTTCCACTGAGTTACTATATGTTACCATGCATAAGAGATTCTTAAACCTGAAATCTCAAATCTCATACATTTGTCAAGAAAGAAGATGCAAACAGCTAAACTAAGAATCTGCAAGCTTAAATGGATTTTGGCTAACACAAATCAAACTGCAAGATACAAAAGATGCTAATATAGTTGCATTCACTCTTTAAAAACCTGCTGAGGAGCCAAGATCACAGTGAGACCTTCAAAATAATCAGCTCAGAGAATACGCTAAACTCATTATGCAGGTTTAGGAACAATTGTTGCCACTCGTATCATAGAACCTCTTAACCTTTGTAGCTCATTTCATGTTGAACGAACACTTGACGAATCATAATATCGTCAGAGCATAATATTTATCTCGGATATTTAGAAGCAAATAATATAAAAAGTTCCATAACTATACTGATAAAATAAATTGAACCACAATATACCAATGACACCGATACGGGTTGCATTCACTGGCATATACCTGCTAGGAATTTAAGATGGCGCTGTAACCTTCAAAATATTCAGCTTTGAAAACACAAAACCTACCGTATGCAAATTTCGGAACATATATTGCCAACCATAAGCTCTGTTTGCTACACTATTGACAACATTTCCATCAAGAGCTCTTACCTTTGCAGCTGATTTCAAATCGAACCATACTTGATAAATCATCATCATCTCACCAAAGCAGAATCTTTATCTCAAAATTTTAAAAGCAAACATAAAGGGCTTCCATAACCAGAATAGATGTCATCAGGGGTTTTGAACACAGAATAAGGAGGATAGATCGGTTTTCTAAAGATTGGTCAAGAAATCGACGCAGGTCCTGCAGTTGCAGTCTTCGAAGCGGCAGAGATGGCACCCGAAGCAAACACAGCTTGTGCAGCCCTTGCACAGCGGAGCACGAGGACACCCCCTCAACACCTTTCGGCTTCCACGCTCTTCATCATCGTCGCAGCTGAGACTGATACACGGCATACATCAATATTAGCTCACGAGAAGAAAATAACATAGAAAAAAAAAGTATAAAGAGAAAAGGAGAACAGATGAATGGACATGGAGAAAGTATGATTAGAGCTCTTGCCTAAACTGCAAATGGAACATCATCTCAGGTCTACAAGGCATTAGAGAAGACATAATATCTAAAGTAGAGGGGCAGAGAGGAGCTCTGATTTCAATTGCCTAGAATCATTAGAACAAAGCTAAATACATGGAATACAACTTTTCCCCTTCCCTTTTTTTTCCTGAGTTTCCTTTAGAAATGTCTTGACAATTCTTTTCTTTCACAGCCTACTTTCGAAAAAAGAGAAGTAGAATCTGAGGGCTTTTTAACATATAGGAGCAACAGATGACCACCATAGCTTATTGAACATTTGCAGAAAACATGCAGAACTCTATATTTGTGGTTCAAATAGGAATTTGACAAACCCTAGAAATAAAATGTGGATACGCACTCCATAGCACCAAAAATTAAGACAAGAAAAACCTTACTTGCCAATAGGGAAATCTGAGCATTTCCAGTTTTTATTTGCAATGGCTATGATAAGGCGCATTTCCTCCTTAGTTGTGTAGCCGAAACCTCCTCTTTTTCTTGCATATGACACAAGGAATAAGCTCATCACGATGAAAAGGACGAGCGCGGCGACCCTTATATGATCCGCTAGCCTTTTCTGCTCTGTTGTAGTATTTGAGCAAGGATGTGTTCAGCAATGCAACCTTCCTCCCTTTCAGCATCACCCATATGTTGGTTTTCCATCTTCTCTGGACCTCTTCATGTCTTGCATGTTTTTCGAATTCAGACGGAGTCATTGTGCCTGCTCAATGTGATAATAACTGATAATCAATATGCAATTCGAAGATTCAACAATATAGTTTATAAATTACATGTTGGTCAATATACCTGCTCAATATGATAATAACTTTGTTAAAGAATAAATTGACGTTATTTCTATGATGCATGCACCAATCATCTCGTGTTAGTTATTTGGTTGATGTCGAAGAAAACTTGTCGAAGTTAAAATATGCATGTATTTTTAAGGGAGGAGATTATTTTGACAATGTAAAATACTAATGTAGCCTCACAAATCTCAAACTCAAACAACTAAGTTTGTGTCTAGCTGTGTGTCATACAGTTGTATCAAGTAATTGTTTATGCATCAGTGTTCATTTAGACCAAACCAGCAACTCAACTAAGCATCCTGTTTAAAGACTAAATCATCAAATAATACTTAAAATTCATGAAAATTCATATCAGACGATCCAAAGCAAATCCGCATTATGGAAAGAAATAAATTTGAAGCAAAAGTGAACTGTTTTCGTGTTAACCAGTCCTTTAAACTCCGGCACCAGCCATCAACATAGCTAACATGACAAGTACTTATATATAGAATTAAATCATCAAACAATGCTTAAAATCCAAATATCCACATGAAAATTTGCGTTACGTACAGAAATATGTTTAAATTAAAAGCAAATGTAAAGTACTCATGTGAACCTATTTTCTCTAAATCCATAAAACCAACCATGAGCATAAAACTAACATGAATTCAGAAACGCTTCAAGAACCCATGTACGCAATATTCATGCGAACCAACTTTCTGAACTAGCCGCAAGCATTAGAACTAAGATGACACTGCACTTTATATAAGGTTGGATCATCAAAAACTGCTTAAAATTCAAGAACTCGTATAGGCAATATATAAATGGGGTCTAATCAGAAGCAAATGCACACAGTTTTCAAGCACTTAATTACCAGAATTAATTAACATGGCATTGCGCTTAAAAGATTTAGTTATCTATTATCAAATAATGCCTGAAATCCTATGCACCTAGAAATCATTCTCACCTTCTTCACACCCCTGAATGCATTCACATTTTACCTCCAGAACTCCAGACTCAAAAATCTTCAACCTGCCGATGGCATCGCCATGTTTCCTACTAGTAGAGCCGCAAGTGACCTCCACAAAATCCTCGCCTTTCAACACACCAGATATCCCTGAAAGCTCGTCGTCTTTGAACAGGGAGTTACCTCTTGCAGAACCATTAGCGGCCATTTTTTGTTCTACATAACAAAACTCAGGACAAATTCCTCAAGCAAAATCAGACGAAAGAAAAACACACCAAGATCGAAACTTTAACGGACGTGCGGATAGAATGGAGGCAGACAACAAATGGGTATGCTGCAAATTTCTTGTTTGGTGTTTTTAGGATTAGATTTTAGCATATCAGAACTCAAGAGCATTTCTCAGACAAAAATAAGATGAAAAACCTGCCAAGGTCAAAACTTCAACGGAAATGCAGATAGAAAACGGGTTGATAACAGATGGGTTTGTGACAAAATTTTCTTGCCCGGAGTTAAATAAGATGAAAGGCGCCACCTTTTTGAGAGCGCAACTCAAAAGGAGACAAATGCCCATTAAACAAAATCTCACATCTTTCATGCTTTTCACCTAGAATATATTTCTCTTCCCAAAAAGGGCTCCCCCAAACCCTTCTCTCTCTTCCGCTGCAGTACGGGGTGAGGCGCTCGAGAGAACAAGGGGGAGAGAGAAGGGTTTGAGGGGCGGGATTCCCAAAGAGGGCCTGCATGAGGTGACAAGGAGCAAAATGTTCTTTGGGATCCTATTAACTATTTTGGGAAAGGGAGAGGATTTGGTGTACTTTTTTGGGAAATTTTTAATGTATAGGGAGATGGCTACTCTCTTGAAACAATCTAACTTGGATTTTGATCTGCCAAAAGTCAAAGGACATGACTAATAAGCAAGAAATAAAAAATTATCACAAAATCTATAGACGAAAAAAAAATACAGATAATTATCACGAAATATTTTTGATATGTAGATTCACTTCAGAGTGTTCTTTTATGCCAATTTTTCTGATCTTTGCCACATGTTGTACTTAAAAATTACATAGTTTTCCATCCTTTTTCCAAAAAATAAAATTTTAAAAAAAATCTTGGCCACGTTGGCAATTGTTAATTAGGGCTTTTTTTTTAAAGAAAGTATTTATAATTTTTTGGGGCACACCATTTTCATTTCATAATTTGCTTTCTAAAAATTAACAAAAGATCTTGTGATCGAGCTTATGTTCGAAGTAACTAACAAACTTTACACTTCTATTTATAGTTTTATACTTAGTATGATGATCTTCAGATCTAACTATAGGATATTGATATTTAATAAAAGCTTATGATGTTTATTTGCAAATGCTAGTGAATCTAATATGTGAAGCACTAGTTCATATATAAAACATAAAAATCATAATCTAATAAAAAATAACGAGAGAAATATTTATAAAACAGCTAACCTACTTAAGAATGCGGTGTGGAGAAACCCTCGTTGTGCCTTTAGAAATGCAAATTGTATTGGTCTCAGGGTTGTGCCTTAATTTATAGTAGAGGGTCACGAGAAAGTTCAGCCTCTTTGGACAAAACGCCTAATTCAGGGTCGTGACATGCGTGCGTTTTGCATTGTGAAAATCGCCGCTGTATTATTCGCATTAAATGCAACGGTTTTTTACTTTGTCGTTTTCATGTGAATATCCATATACAGTTTCTAGAATACCATGTATTGTTAAATATAATGAATTTGAGTCAATCGTTTACCAAATAAAATGAATATGTGCACAATTGCAATCTATACAGCACCCATTATAGGTTAGCAACGTGCAATATGTTTCAAAATAAATTTATACTTTTTGTAGCGTACTTGGTGGGAATTATTTCGATAGATAAACTCTATTAAAAAAATTAGATAACTGGTTAGGAGATAAGAGAGAGAGAGAAAAATGAATAGCAAGTAGTCCTCTTTAATTTACAGTAATTTCGCTTCTTATCTATCCTCTTTTTCTTTCTCGTCTCCTAAGGAGTGTTGAGTGAGTGCTGAGTGCTCATGGGCACTCGTTAGAAAAGCTCAATGCATTTTGTTTCTTTTTTGTACTTTAGTTTTTTATCACCCAAATTAGAACACCCATCAAGTTTTTGCTCTCATACGACAAATGTCTAAGATGACTAACACTTCTAGTTGTACCTCGCACCATGATCTATGGGGGTGTTTGGTTGCATTGTTTTTGAGAAATATTTTCTCAAAAGTACTGACACATGACATTTATGTAATTAAGAGTTTTCTATACATTTCTATAAACTGTGTTTGGCTCCAAAAAAATTTACAGAAATGTTTTCTGTAAAGTGCCCAAAAGTACCAAATTTTATGGAAATTGATTTCCTTCTAAAATGGGAGGAAATCTCTTGGAAATCTGACGCATTCATTATTTAAATAATAAAACTCATTAACTCTTTTCTACAAAGTTCTCACTTTTCTATAAAGTTGGTGGTGTTTGGTTACATTTCTATAAATTATAGGAAATGTTGCTATTTTCTCAAAAGTTATTTCTCATTTTCTTGTTTTGAACCAAACAAGCACAATACAAAAAATAAGAAAATTTGTACTTTTTAACTTCTCAAAACTTTTTCTATAATTTTTTTAAGAAATACAAGGAAATCAAATTTGGCATAGAAAACATTTCCTATAATTTATAGAAATGTAACCAAACACCCCCTATAAGTCTAAGTATTGAACATCCGAGATATAGTACAAGTTTATCACCTTTATTATCAATACTTATGAGTAGAATACATTGCTTCACCATAAAAATGATAGACAATCATAATCTTATAAAAGAACAAGAGAAATGACTGAAAAGTTAACTAACCTGCTTAAGGATATAACAAGAGGGATCTTCTTTTGCGCGATAGAATTGCAAATTGTGGAAATGTTTTTAGGTTGCGCTCCAATTTATAGCGGAGAATCATAACAAAGTTCACCCTTTCTGGACAAAACGCCTAATTTTAGGATCATGACATGCACGCGTCTGTATTGTGCAAGTCGCCACTGCATCTTCCTATTGAATGAGTGGGTTTTACCTCGCCATTTTTTACGTGAATATCCATATACATTTTTACAGAATAACCTATACTGTTAAGTACAAGGACTTGATTCAATCTTTTACTAAAGAACAACATAAGCCTGAAGTATGATAGATGATACACATAGTACTCATTACATGGGATTATACCCTGATTATCAATTCAATAATTTACAAAAAAAATTATACCTATGTTATGAAACAATTAAATGATGTGGATGTCCATTTAGTTTTCGAAAGAGATTGATACATGTATTATCCCTTGAAATTCTCTATGAGTAATTAATATCATGTATCATCATCTTAGTTTGTATATAAATAGAGGTATTCCTACCTCACTTTGCAAGGAGAAATTGAGGAAATAAAATTCTTTTTACTTCTTGTCTACTTTCTCTACTCTACTTTATTAGTTTTACAACACGTTATCAGCACGAGACTCTACCATTGAAACAATCCATTTCAAGTCCATTAGATTCATCGTTGGGCACGTGTTCATATTTTGGGTAAACCTTTGAGGTAAAATTTCTCTTTCCAATTCAATTTATTTTTCACTGACTAACCTTACAAAACAAGAATTTGTACCACTTGATATTTCTAGAAAGAATTACTTATCTTGGATGTTAGATGTTAAAATACATCTTGCTGCAAATGGGTCTTGAAAATAATATTGTGGAAGAAAATAAGACATCAAATCAAGACCGTGTCAAAGCTATGATTTTCCTTCGCCATCATTTGGATGAAGGATTAAAAACTGAATATCTAACTGTGAAAGATCCACTTACTATGTGGAATAATTTGAAGGAGGGATTTGACCACATAAAGTTGGTCGTGCTCCCAAAAGCCCGGTATGACTGGCTTTACTTAAGGCTATAAGATTTTAAATCAATCAGTGAGTATAATTCTGCAATGTATAAAATTATCTCTCAATTGCAATTGTGTAGAGAAAATGTCATTGATGACGATATGTTAGAAAAAACATTCTCCACCTTTTATGCCTCGAATATGCTCCTACAGCAGCAATCGAGAGAGGGAATTTAAGAAATACTCTGAATTGATTTCATGCCTCCTTTTGGCTGAACAAAATAATGAATTATTATTGAAAATCATGAATCCCGACCTACCGGTGCTAGCCCATTTTCTGAAGCGAATGCAACTCAATCTCAAAATCATGGTCGTGGCATGTGGGCGTGTGGACATGGTCGTGGAGGAGGCCAAGGACGTAGATGTTATCGTGGACGAGATCATGACAGATATGTGCCTTATAATCACAGTGATCATAACTGTGGCAAAAGACAAAACAACTCCCAAAAGTGAGACAATAATGATAATAAAAGTGAAGAAAAAAACATTATGAGGAAATATGCAAAAATGCCAAGACAAATTTTATTGATCAAAATAATATTTATGATGATCTTGATGGTATCATACACCTCGATGTAACTGATTTCCTTAAGCAACCTGAAGTTGCGAAATGATCTCATGATAAATACCCGACATTTTGAATTTTGTTATTTTCGTATCTTTTATGTAATTTTATTTATGAATTTTATAATTTATAGACTTTATTGATATTTATTTTTGTTTGTAATTTTCTTTGTCATTTCTTCCTGAAGAAGAAATGGATGCCAAATATTTGGGATCAAATAATGATGATCTCATTGATAGTGCTACTACACACACCATACTTAAAAACATGAAGTATTTTTCTCATTTAAAAATGAAAGAAACAAATGTTAACACAATAAGTGGTAGTGCTTAAAAACATGAAGTATTTTTCTCATTTAAAAATGAAAGAAACAAATGTTAACACAATAAGTGGTAGTGCTAAATTGATTGATGGCTCCGGAAGAGCCAAAAATGAAAGAAACAAATGTTAACACAATAAGTGGTAGTGCTAAATTGATTGATGGCTCCGGAAGAGCCATTGTATTTATCCCCGAAGAAACTAAAATTGTCATAAGTAATGCACTACTTTCGATAAAGACTCGAAGAAATTTATTTAGTTTTAAAGATATTCGCCGAAATGGATATCATATCGAGACAATAAATGAGACAAATGGTGAATACTTATTAATTACAAATACCATTTCTGAGAAGAAATGCATATTATAAAAACTGTCTTCTTTATCTTCTGGTTTATATTATACAAAAATAAGTGCAGCTAAAATTTATCACCTTATAGACCAGAAGTCTACTGATTTTATGATTTGGCATGATCTCCTTAGACATCCTGGTTCTATAATGATGATGCGAATAATTACAAATTCACATGGTCATTCATTGAAAAATCAAAAATATTAAATTCTAATAAATTCTCATGTGTTGCTTGCTCCCAAGGGAAGTTAATTATTAGACCATCACCAACAAAAGTGGGAAATGAATCCCATGCATTTCTAGAATGAATTCATGGTGATATATGTGGGCCTGTAGATCTACCATGTGGACTGTTTAGATATTTTATGATGCTAATTGATGCATCAACAAGATGTTCACATATATGTTTATTATCTAGTCGCACCCTGGTGTTTGCGAGATTGGTTGCTCAGATAATTAAATTGTGAGCACAATTTCCTGATTACCTCATTAAGAAAATTCGTTTAGATAATACAGGTGAATATTCATCACATGCTTTTGATGATTATTGCGTATCTATTGGAATAAGTGTTGAATATCATGTAGCTCATGTTCATACACAAAATGGTCTAGCCGGATCATTAATTAAACGGATTCAATTAATTGCAAGACCATTGTTAATGAGGTCTAAACTTCCTCTATCTGCTTGAGAACATGCTATATTACATACACTAACACTTGTGAGAATTAGAACGACAAGTTATCATACTTATTCTCCCTTACAATTAGTTCTTGACCATGAGCCTAGTATTTCTTATTTAAGAAATTTTGGTTGTGCGGTATATGTTCCTATCGCTCCGCCTCAACGTACTAAAATGGACTCTCAAAGAAGATTGAGGATATATGTCGGGTATGAATCACCTTCTATAATTAAATATGTTGAACCATAAACATGTGATTTATTTACTGCAAGATTTGCAGATTGTCATTTTGATGAATCACATTTCCCGACATTAGGGGGAGGTAAAGATCAACCGAAAAAGAAAATTACTTAAAAAATATCATTAGACTTTCTTGATCGTCGTACAAAAGAATGTGAACTAGAAGTTCAAAGGATTATACATTTACAGAAAATTGCAAACCAATTACCAGATGCTTTTAGTGATTCTAGAAGAATTACTAAATCGCATATTCCAGCAGAAAATGCACTGATTAAAATTGATATCCCAGAATGACAAATTAAAAGTGCTAACGAATTTAAAACACGCCTGAAGCGTGGCAGACCTCTTGGTTCCAAAGATAAGAATCCTCGAAAGAAAAGAGGATCGAATGATCAAAAATTTGCTAATGATAAAATTCAACCTCCTGAAGAGCCAACGGCTGAAGAGAATGAAACTATAGAAAATTCAATAAATTTTGTCATTACGAGAAAGAGTTGGAACCGAAGAGAAGTAATTGTCGATAAGGCATTTGCATATAATGTAGCACTTGATATTATGGAAAAAGACGAGGATCATGAACCCAAATCGATTGATGAATGTCAGCGAAGAAATGATTGGTCAAAATGGAAAGATGTAATCTAATCTGAATTAAATTCACTGGCTAAATGAAAAGTTTTTAGATCTATAGTCCAAACACCTAAAGGTGTAAAGCCAGTAGGATATAAATGGGTATTTGTGAGGAAAAGAAATAAGAAAAAAAAATTGTGAGATATAAAGCAAGACTTGTAGCCCAAGGATTTTCACAAAGACCGAGATTTTGATTATGATGAAACATATTCTTCAGTAATTGATGGAATTATATTTAGATATCTTGTGAGTTTATCAGTACATGAAAAACTTGATATGCGTCTGATGGACGTAGTCACTGTTTATTTATATGGAGCATTAGATAATGATATCTATATGAAAATCCCTGAAGGATTTAGCATGCATGAAGCATATAAATCAAATCCTAGACAAATGTACTCCATTAAGTTGCAAAGATCTTTGTATGTACTCAAGCAATCTGGACGAATGTGGTATAACCACCTTAGTGAATGTTTAGTCAAATAAGGTTATACAAATGATCCTATATGTCCATATGTTTTCATAAAAAATATTGGGTCAAATTTTATAATCATTCCTGTATATGTTGATGACCTTAATCTGATTGGAACCCATGAAGAGCTCCAAAAGACGATTGAATACTTGAAGAAAGAATTTGAGATCAAAGATTTTGGGAAAACTAAATTTTGCCTTGGTTTGCAAATTGAGCATTTAGAAAAAATGATATTTGTTCACCAAATTGCTTATACCCAAAAGGTATTAAAACGGTTCTACGTGGATAAAGCACATCCATTAAGTGATGATCTGACCGATTTATTCACTAAGACATTGCCGACTGCAACTTTTGAGAAATTGGTAAAAAATATTGGAATGCGTTGGTTGAAAGATCTCAAATGATATTTGAATCAGGGGGGAAACTAATACATAAGAATAATGTACTCTTTTTCCTTCACTAGGGTTTTTTTCTCACTGGGTTTTTTTCCTAATAAGGTTTTAACGAGGCATATTCTTTGTGTAATGTTGGACATCCAAGGAGGAGTGTTATGAAATAATTAAACGATGTGGATGTCCATTTAGTTTCCCAAATAGATTGATACATGTATTACCCATTGATATTCTTTATGAGTAATTAATATGATTCATGTATCATCATCTTAGTTTACATATAAATAGAGATATTCCTACCTCACTTTGTAAGGAGAAATTGAGGAAATAAAATTTTTTCTACTTCTTGTCTATTTTCTCTACTCTACTTCATTAGTTTTACAACAAACTATCCTTAGACTGCTCTATTGGGGAAAAAATTATTCGACCAAACATTTTAATACAAAAATAGTGAATCCTCCACCGCTAACCAACCATTGATATATTGTTAACTTATTTACAATTTTATAAACAATTGTTACCACACACTAACACAAGATTAAATTTCTTTTCATGAGTAGACACATTCACTCAATATTTTATTACATTCTCATAAAAAAATTCTTTTAATCTTTTAAGGTCTGTTTGGTTCAGCTAAATTTTTGGAAATCATGTAGTTTTGGAACAAAAAGTAGGTTTTTTGACTTTTTTGGATTCCAAAACTATCATTTGGTTCAACTTTTTTTTAAGAATGCATTTCATAAAAGCTGACATGGCAACACACTTTATGGAAAAGCCAAATCCTCTTTTAAAGCTCTGAAATGGGCTGGAAATCTGACAACTCAATGATAACTCATCAATTACTCTCACAACTCCTTAATTTTTTTGGTAATGAAACAAACATGAGTTTTGAAAATGCTTTCCTATTCTTCACTTCATCATTCTATACTAAACACAAGTTATGGATTCCTGAATGATCCAAATTTTTTTTGGAAATGGTTATTTGCCTTGGACAAACAGCCCCTAATTGTATAAGCAAGGTAACCCATTCTTTTTTTTTTTTTTGATCAAATGGTAACCCATTCTTGAATATGAGGATATTTACTAACATGTTAACACATTATTCCATCCAGAATTTTCACGTCTGGGCCCACGATTCGGATTGGGTGAAATTTTGGGTACAACATTAATTAATGCTGCTCCTTTGCCGGTATACGCCGTTTTTTCTCTTCGGCGCCCTCCTCTTCTGTTTCCCGCCACCAAAGCAAAATCCATGGCCTTATCCTGTGCACTCGCTACTTATCCTGCGCCCTCTTCGTTCAGTCGGCGCTGTCGTACGCTTAGACGCCGTTCGGCAGCTCCCAGGGCCTTATCCTGCGATTTCTCCGCATATCCTGCGCACTCCTTCGTACCCGAGGTGAAACCCCTAGGGCTCCCATCCTATCTCCTCCCCATCGAAACCCTACTTTTGAAATGTTATGTTAGAATTCTAAGCTGGAATTCTATTTTGATATTGTTTTTAATGATAATTAGGTGGCGGAAGCGGTAGATTCGTTGTACTCGGAGTTTAGGGAAGTTGACAACTTGGTGGCGCACAATAGCACGCGGGTTCTTAAGGCATTTCAGAACGCTAGGGTTGGATCTCATGTAAGATTATTTCCAAAATTCTATTTTCACCTTTAAAAAAAATGCATGTGCTTGCAGATCACTTGTTGCGGAATCATGAAAAAGCTGGCATCTTTGGTAGGATAAAGCTACATTACAGGGGTTGGGATTAGGGCTAGGGTTAGGGTTTCACCTATATGACAATTGTAAGTATTGCTTGCTAAGTGCTGCATTCATCAATTTGTTTCGACCTTTTGGCCCTCATTTAGAATCAAGTGCCTATTTGATGGTTACATTCCAATCTAGTTCTGTTGCTTTGGAATCTAATATCACTGCTTGTAAAATGTTGGGTGAAGAATGGTTCAGTTAGATTTGTTGAAAATTTAAGGTTCATGAGCCAATTGCCAGTGCTAATCTCATTTTGTGGGTGCCAATGATCACAAAATGTTTCGGTTGGCTTTGTAATTTGCTTTAAAATTGTTCAATTTACCACCAACCTTTAGTGGGTTGATATTTATATCTCCGGCACCTTGTTTTCATATGACATGTTATTCTGTTGTCCACAAGAGAACGCGCTTTATAGTGCCTATACCCTGTTGGTGTGAAATGAACTGATACAAGACTCTTTGCATGTTTGTATCTTGAGAGGAGACTGATTGCAAAAGGTGTATCTTTAAATGTATCAGCACTTTGGTGGGTGCACTGGCTATGGTCATGATGAAGGCGGGGGACGTGAAGCACTGGATAATCTCTTTGCTGAAATTGTTGGGGCAGAATCAGCGATTGTTCGTTCACAGGTTTCTATTCAGTTATCTCAGTTATTGTGTCAGTCATATGGAAATGATACACTTCGGGATTTTAACACAGTTCTATTTTCTGCTGTAGTTTTTCTCTGGTACTCATGCCATCACTTGTGCACTGTTTGCTTTCTTGAGACCCGGGGATGAGGTGAACATCTGATACCTCCCACTACTGTTCTCTAGAGCTGATCTTGTTGAACTCTTATGAGTCCTGATCAACAGAATTCTATGATATTTCTTGGATTGTTCTGTGCATCTCAGCTTTTAGCAGTTGCTGGTGCTCCTTATGATACCCTGGAGGAAGTGATTGGCATTAGAAACTCTTCTCAAACTGGATCTCTGAAAGACTTTGGAATAGCCTACAGAGAAGTTCCAGTAACTTCCTTTTTACAGTAACTTCTTTTTCTAGCAAAACCATAGTGAACTGCTTTTTACGAACATGATTTCAGCTTGCAGAAGATGGTGGCCTTGATTGGGATGCTCTTGCCACTGCTGTGAGACCCCAAACAAAATGTGCACTTATACAACGGTCATGTGGATACTCGTGGCGTCAAAGCTTGAGTGTACTAGATATACAAAGAGCTATCGAGATAATCAAGGCAACTTCTAATTCTTTTACTTTATGCTTCGTTGTTACTGAATTATATTTTAGTTAATTTATATGAAAAATACTCGCATTGAAAAGTGGAAAGCCTTACAAATGCTTCCCATTCAAATAATATATTTTTGAATTAGAGAATCGAATATCAGCTTTATATCTCACTACAAGATTGTTGATGCTGAAAACATTGGATCATTTCATATAGAAGTTAAACAACACCAGAAGTGTCAGGTAATGCTATTTAAAGCTGATAACATGTATTCAATTTCTTGAGAAAAATACTGTAACTGAAATTATCCTGGACTCTTGATGAACGAGTTATCGGGTCTCGCACCCTTATCCACATCCATTTTCTAGGGTCATTTTGGTTGCATATTATTCTGTCAATTAAATCAGTCTTTCATATTGTTTTCCTGGGACTTGATGTTATTTTTCCGTATCTAATTTTTGGCTCATTGAATTCCTGTTGTTTAACCCATGCACGAGTTTGAGAGTGCCATTATCATGTATTTTGTAGAGACAGAACCTCGATTGTATGATTATGGTGGATAACTGCTATGGAGAATTCGTGGAAAGATCCGAACCCCCAATGGTGGTATGAAATGTATCCGATTTTTCACCTTTACCTTGCTTTGGTAGCATCATAGACCATTGGTAGTTCTTTCCAGGGAGCAGATTTAATTGCTGGGAGCTTGATAAAGAATCCTGGTGGAACAATTGCACCTTGTGGTGGTTATGTCGCTGGAAGGAAAATCTGGGTTGAGGCAGCAGCTGGCCGTCTGTCTGCACCTGGTTTAGGAGTGGAATGTGGATCAACTTCTGGGGATATCATGCGAGCTTTTTTCCAAGGGATATTCCTCGCGCCCCAAATGGTTGGAGAAGCAATCAAGGTTTGACTTCAAAGAAAAGTAACTTATGTTGTTCCCTCATTCAGTGATCATCATATATTGCTATCATTTCTGTTGCCAGGGAAGTTTGCTTGTTGCAGAAGTCATGGCATCCAAGGGGTACAAGGTGCAGCCACTTCCACGACATCCTCGCCATGACACAGTGCAGGTATATTTCAACCATAAATGCAAGAGTAAACGCATTTGGACATTCAGTTATGGGATTTTGGCTATAGGTGGGTTAAAATTTCTGAACTGTAATTGCACTTTCTGGACGGTAGAATCTGACAAACACAAAGTCATCAATATTTGTGAAGAATTCTTGGTATACATAATGGTTTAAACCCCAGAAACTGTTGAATCATATATTGATTTAACTTATAAGCTAGTCTATCAATGAACTCTTCAGTCCTATTCTATTACCTTTTCAATTTAGTGAATCTTAAATGGTTATTTACCCTTTACTTTGTATTTATGACATGTAAACTTCTAATGTGAATCTATATCGCACTGGACACAATGATTCTTCTGGAACAAATTTTCAAAACAGCCCCAAAAAAAATTTTATTTTTCAAAATCGACCCATTTTTTTTTATTTACCAAAAATCGACCTGGTTTTTGCCACGTGGGCTTAATGACGTTCCTAAACAGTCGGGGTTGGCAACCCCGACTGTTTAGGAGGGTGTTAAACCCTAATTAATGTCCTTAAACCCGAAATTTGCATGTCCTAAACAGTCGGGGTTGCCAACCCCTACTGTTTAGGAACGTCATTAAGCCCACGTGGCAAAAACCGGGTCGATTTTAAAAAATAAAATTTTTTTTGGGGCTGTTTTGAAAATTTGTTCATTCTTCTGTCTGTTTGTGTTTTATACAGTATCATTGATGGCATGTGACGCATGTCCCTAGGTCTCTGGTTGTCAAATTAAAGAATTCTTTCACTAACGCAACTTTGAGTTAATTATAGAAGAAGCTGAGGTGCTTGAATCTCATTTCAGGCTGTACAACTAGGAAGCAGAGATCTGCTTATATCATTTTGTGAGGCTGTGCAGAGGTGCAGCCCGATTGGATCTTTTATCAAGCCAACTGCTGGTTTTACTCCTGGATATGCATCTGAGGTTGGGCCACTTTTACAATATAAATTCTTACTCGATAGCAGTTGTTTAGATGGGGAAATTTTCTCCCTTTTCTCTGAATTATGTTTCTGCCTCTCCTGTCTGATCTTTGGGCTTAAACTTTCCCAATTAATAGAGTAGCTATTCTCATTTAGAGACTTTGTATTTTTATGTGGATGTGCACGGACCATTTTTTCTCATCATGCTATATAAATTCGATTGGGGTTCGTAAATTACATTTTCCTTTTCAATATTTTCCTACTAGTTTTCTGAGTTCCATTTTATCACCCAATCATGCCAACACATCCACTCATCTAAGGATGCCAACAAATTCATATAGGAGACACGTGCACAAATTCATATAGGCGGAACTGGACATCTATGTTCATATGAAGTCTTCAAGTGACAGGTTTATTCGCATGAAATAGGTGATCTTTGCTGATGGAACATTTATCAACGGAAGCACAAGTGAGATGTCATGTGATGGACCTCTGAGGGAACCGTTTACAGTCTTTTGTCAGGTAAGATTTATCAATGTTTATTTGTTATGGGGAGAAAGAAACCCTTGCAAGAATTTGATTTAGGAAAGCCAAGTTCAAAGCACCACTGAAAATATATCATTTTTTGCTGAATATAGGGTGGAACTCATTGGACTCAGTGGGCATTTGTTCTTGGAGAGGTTTTGAGATCCATAGAGAAGAAGACAGATGAACGATCCTCACCTTATGCCCGTGTCAATGGAGTAATCTCCTGAATTATCTTGATTTTAGGGGCTGTTTGGTTCCTGTTTTTTGGGTGGTAAAAGTGGGGAAAGCTGTCAAAAATGTCAGCTTTTTGGCAGTTTTCCCCCAAAATCACCTCTTAAAAAGGTGATTTTGGGGGTTAGCTGCCAAAAAGCTGACATTTTTGGCAGCTTTCTCCTTTTTTACCACCCAAAAAAACCTATCCAAACAGCCCCTTAGTTATTTGAAGAAAAACAATGTTCTTAAATTGGTCATGGACGCTGCACGATGCACTACTCTAGAGATGGGTAATAAGTTAAGGTCTTTCGTTTAATGTAGCAGAGAAATTTGTTCTGCTTAAAACATTATTAGTTTTTACTCACTGGAGACATGTTGCGTTGATTATCTGAAATCTGATTCTATCTGAAATTTTTACCCACCTATTGCTATCTTCATGTTTTTTTTTTTCCAGGTTTGAAGAGAAGATACTGCGATGAATTATAAAGAATAAAAATGAGATAACTTCATCTTCAAGAAGATCAGCCTGGCGGCGCTGAAGATAGACGTTCTTTCGACGTGTTTCATCTGACTGCGAGTTAAAGGCAAATCCTGCTTTCAGAGCAAATGTGGATTCTCAAGGCCATATCTCATAGGAGTCTATGCTGGAAAGCAATGGGTGATTCATATTGATAAATGATTTATTGTTATTTCTACATGAAAGTTATGTCAATTTTTTTTGAAATAAATATAAACAAATTTATATAGTTTTTTTTTCTTGTCATATATTCTGACACATATTGACATCATAAACGAACAATTTCGGGTCGAAACGTGCATCTGAACATAAAAAGGTTATGTAAATTGTTTAGCTCAAGAAATCTACATTGGCTGAAATGAACATCATTATGTTATGAGGTGGTTCTAATTACTCCTTAATGACGACGCTTTGGAACTTTAAAGTATGGCTTTAAGCTTAGTGACTACTTAAAGACTGAAGCTAACTTTCACATGGTCACTCAATGCTCTAGCGCTGGTAACTTAAATTTGTGGCTTGAACTGTACTGGTGCCTCGTTGAATTTGGGAATGAGAGGGCCAATACAGTCTTTTGTACGGCAACAATCGGCAATTAATCCCTCGCTTTCCATTAATAAGAGTTTAACGAAACATAGACACGATTAGTATCTATGATCAGTAAGCGGATACGAGTATAATAGTATCATATTCAAGCCGTATCCGAACCTCATACGTATTTCAAATGTGGTATACATTGCAAAAGGACTCCTATCTTCTACCATATCCTGCGGGCGGCCAAATGAATACACACCTTGAGACTAGTGCAACCCACGTCTATTCAAAAAGTCAAAATGGTGCAAATGTAGCAAAGTTTCTCTTCACATGTTTCAGGTCAATTCTCTAAGCTCAGCATTTAAAGTTGGATAACCCTTTCTCCGTACCCTACGCAAAAAGCCTTTCTTTCAATAGTTTATGTTAATTATAACTGTTTCATTTAGTATCTAAAAATGGCTTTTGTTCAGTGATTTATCCATTTATGATGTCATTACCACCGTTATTATGGCTGCCCTTATCTTTCCTGCCTAACTTGAGTTGGTCATGAAGCACAACCCTACATCAACCCTCTAAATTCCTCCAAAAATTATGATGAATAAAATGAACAATTTTTCACTTTAGCCCTTTTAAAAATTTTTATTATTAAAATCAACCCTTTTTTCTTTTATTTACCAAAACCGACCCGATTTCTTGATTAGCGGCTTAATCACATTCCTAATTAGTCGGGGTTGCCAACCCCGACTATTTAGGAGGGTCTTAAACCCTAATTAGAAGACTTAAACCCTAAAAATTAATATCCTAAATAGTCGGGGTTGGCAACCCCGACTAATTAGGAATGTGATTAAGCCGCTAATCAAGAAATCGGGTCTGTTTTGATAAATAAAAGAAAAAAAGGTCGATTTTAATAATAAAAAATTTAAATAGGGCTAAAGTGAAAAATTATTCTGAATAAAATACATAAAAATGAAGGATATAAAACAATTGTCAATCCTGAGGGCATCTGCTCACAAATCCAAATGCCATTAAACAAAATCTCTTCCCTTAACCAAAAAGAAAGGAAAACAAAAGAGCTGGCATTTTGTGAATCTCAAGTAATCCAAAAGTAAACTCCCCCCTCGTTTCTCATATCATGTATACAAGTATATGAAGAACTGAAGCACAAACCTAAGAGAGAAACAGACGGCGACGAAGATGAATGGAGGCAGCAGCAAGAGATCTCAGAGGCTGGTGGTGGCGGCTCTGCTGGCCATCGGCATGGCGATGATCAGCGTCGCGATGCTTCACAAACTGAAGGAGAGGCGCGTGTTAAGCGCCCTTCTTCAAGATCAAGATCATGAGATCTTGACGCTTCAGCTCCAGCTGCAGGTAACAATATGGATATCTGCAGATATATCTGTCTTCATATTATCGAATACAGATACTGACTAGATTTCCAGATAAATGTATTAACAAAAATATTAAAAACTATTTTGGCCTTAAATTAGTAAATCTTAAACTGATTGGGATGCAGTGATGAATGATTATTCGAAAAAAGTTTATTTTTTTCGTTTACGCAACTCTTGTATCATATAACATGCCTTCGAAAATCTTATTTCTGTCCAACGTAAATTTGATATTGATGGATATGGAAATCAATTTTCTTGCCGAAACATATATGCATTCC